AGGTCTCTTAGCTATGTTGAAGTACCGAGTTAACGTCATGTTGTAGTCGAAGACGTAGCTCTTTTACGGAATCCGGAAGCCATTAGCACATTTGTTCCGGAAATGATATCAATTATCAATGACGTTTCTTCAGGCTAAGTAATGTCTCGATTTTATGCGCCTTGATTTTCGAAAAATCTGATTACACTTGAGATCCCTTGAGATGTTAGCGATGATAAATCACATAATCAAAATTTGCAATAAGTCTCGCTTATCCACCAACTCCGTGTGTTAGATTGGCATCAACGCAGACGGATTTTTTGCTCAAATTGCAATCGTCTTGATTTCCTCTAGTAGCATTGATAACTTGATCGTGAAATAGCGTCCAAGTTTCATTTAACGGTTGAGATCAAGCAACCAACAAAGCTCACTTTATCATTGCCAGTTTCGAGTGAGATTTCTTTCTGAGAACTTGTAATTGATGTTAAGGTATATAGAAGTCTTACCTATGATTTAGTTACGGATAATAGGTGTTAAGCAAGTGTTCTATAGAATAACGTAACTCTAAACCAGTGCTTGGTTCTAGCATGACTATTAAAATACGGTTGTTCAGGCTGGTCTTCGTACGCTGCACGAAATCGGACCAGAACTCAAACGTGCCATTTCTGGAAATCTTGAGACTGATTTCAACTTTGAGGATCCGGAACCACAGCACAGAGTAAGCTATCTGCTTTTTATGTAATGATCCCAGTAGATCTACTCTGAAGCTTCTCTCCAACTTTCCAGCGCACTCATTCGCTATTCAACAACATCGTGAATCGCATCGCTGGCGCCCGCTCACCGTCCGATCACGGAGATAGAGGTAAGCAGGCCCGTGAATAAGTTGTGAGGCCCATTCTTATGGCGGAACTTCGGCTCTTTCGCGCCCTTTGACGTTTTCATTGAAACATTCGAAGACATGCCATTTCAGAGTCACGCCCATTCTCTCCTAGCAATTCGTTGAGTGCTGTTGAAGCGAGTCCGATGCTCACTTCCCCTCCTCGTGGCCCTGTTCCAATGCAGCCTGCCAACGGTGGCACTCGAAGGTTCGCACTTTCTTTAAACCGAAGGAGCAATGCTTCATGCTTTACCAAACTATGTAGTTCTTTTTTACCTACGCTGTACCTGAATCAAAGCGCAAAAAGAAGAGAATTTTCTTATTTGTGGTGGAATTTGGAAATATGTAAGTTTAGAAGTAATTCTTCACTATGACAGTTTGTTGAATTGCCAGAACTAAAGAACAGTTATATTATCGAGTGGGCAATTTCACATTTCATGGTGTGTTCATCCGCATGCAAAACTAACTCTTCATTCCTCTTTTCTTGACACTTCCATATCATTATAAATGAATTACAAGGGTCGTCATGTACATAATCTTTGAGCGCTCTTGAGTATGTTTAGACACCACGGAATTCATCAGAAAATACGTAAAGTGCAATTTTTTAAATGTACAGAATGCAAAAATTTTGAAGTTAGTGGCTCCACGGAGACGTTACATCAAGTATGTGACAAAAAAAGAATCAGTTCAAAGAATTGAGGTTTAATCAATTCATAATTTTAGCAGAAATAAAGTATGTGAAAAAAAGAACAGAAGTTGCCTTTTTACTTTTTTTCCAACTGCACTCGTTGGGAGCTGTAGAACTCTTGCATAGCCACCGCCTAATTTAATTCTAACAGAAAGAAGTTAACGTGGGCATGAATAATACGCTTTGTTTGATGCTGCCACACCTCGAATTATTAGGAAGAGTAAGTGCGCTATTCTTGCCTCAATTAATACGCAGAATTCCAATACGGATTGAAAATCTTTAGAATATCCAAACATAAAGCAGTTTCACTATTTGATTCGTAATCAAACTTGCTCTTCAGCAGCAAAAAA